TTTCGGAAAGTGGCTTTAGCGATCATGTCTGGAGCGCCGAAATTTGATTCAAGAGCTTTCAGAGCTCTCTTGTAATTATTTTCTCGAATTGGATAAATGTCTAGTAAGTCTTTAGCTGGTCCTGCTACTTTATCTTTTAGAATGAGCATACGTTCGAGATCGTCAAGTTTTTCATTCTGATTTAGGCATCGTTCAACTAGCTCTTCCCATTCTGGCCATTTAATGGGGTCGCCGTTGAAAATGGGAATTCTTTCAGTCTTATCAACTTTTCCCTTTATTGGACTTACTTCCATTGTCTGAAGTAGTTGCTTGAATAGTTCAATGTCCTCGACGTCTTCGTATTTATATAACTTTTCATTAATAACTGTATTGCCTAAAAACTCTCTATAGTATTCGATAAATCGCTTTTTAGCTAATTCGTTGGTTTCCAGCAAACCATCGTTTGGATTTTTGTTTTTGAGATAGTATTTTTCGATTTTTTGATAGCGTTTTATTATCGCTTCCTGACATTTTAGCGCTAGGTTGTCAAAAGTTTCAATTTTCTTTTGATAGCTTTTGATTATGTTCAAGTACAGACTCCCTTCTTTTGAGCCTTCTGGGAGCTGCATTAGGTTTTTATAAGCGGCCGATAGGTAACTTGCAAGGTTTTTCAGGTAGTAATGAATGAGTAGCTGGTCATATTCTATTTTCTTTAGCTCATTTTGGCAGCGCATTTCTATATCTTCCTTTACTAAGAAGGATTTTCCTACGTTTTTGGTAGTTTGTTCGATTTCCCCTTGTTTTTCGAGCATGCTTTTTACATCAATAGTCCATTGTTCCATACTATCTATTATTTCGTCCATGTCATCTTTGATTATACTTTCATCGCTTATCGCTAGGTACTTTGCTTTTAATTCAGCGAAATGGTTTTTATTGGCCATCGCGATTTCTCCTTCTATATAGATTTTTTTTTTGGATTTTTTGGGTGATTTTGAGTCTCTAGATGGGATTCCTCGGTCGGTTTAGATAGTGCGGAGATTAGATCTCCGTCTTATTTATGCGCTTTGGCGCTGGCCTTGATTTCGGCAGGGTGGCGTACTTTGCGCCTGGTGCTTACCTCCGTTTTTTGTCTCCCTGCTTTGGGAGATAGTAATCGGCTTCCGAAGGGGCTTCTGGGGCAACAGACAGCAGGTTCCTGAAATTAACCCGGGAAAAAATGGATACCTGGTTGAGGCGTTAGAAGGCGATTCGGCAGACGCTAGCTGCAGCTGGTGTTCCGGAGGAATATTTGAATATTTAGGAATATTTGGCAGTTTAATAGTTCGGCTCGACGCACCAAAATTTTTTGTGGGCGGCCAAATAGCTGGCCTGGGTTCGACTGCCTTTGAATATATGAATTCTTCAGGTTTATTCACGCTCAGTGGTAGCTACAGTATTCGGGGAGCAATGGAATTCGGGGGAGCAATGAGACAGAGGGACTGGGAGAGATGGCAATCAGGTCCGAAGAAAGGACCGACAATGACCGGGAGAGACTAGCGTCTCTGGAGTTTCGCTCCTTAAATGTGGGGAGCTTCAAGGTTACAGTCGGGCAAACGGCATATCGTTATACAATGGCTTATTGTCCTGGGAAAGACAATACGCTGGGTCAAATCAAGGAATGCTTTAGCTTCTGACAAAGGAAGTAGAATCAGGCTAGGTTTTGGTCGCCTACACGAGACATAAACCAAACCTACTCGGCCCTTAGGTGACCAACTTGTGCCTGATGGTCACCCTCTATTCCGAGATCAAGGCCGCCGGCAAAACGAAGGGTTTGATGGACGTTGCTCTTTACACTAGTGCACCTTAGAATACACGGTCAACAACATTGGGGTGTCGCTGCACAAGTACGACATTGAGTACGGGGCCCCGCGACAGCCGGCCGTCAAGTCGAAGCGTGGCCCGATTGGCAAGTTGGTCGCCTACGGGGCCGACTCGATCGGGATGGGCGCTGCAAAGGTATGGTTTCCGTTAAATAATTCAAGGACTTTATCATTTGTTTTTAGAAGGAGGACGTCGAGGCGCCGAAGGACAATTCGGGAAGCTGCCGCCGCAAGCCGGCTACCGCCCCGGAGTCGAGCTGCAAGACGGCCCAGCCGGTCTCTGGAGGATTGGGTATGCCATGCTATTAAATGCCTTAATAAAGTGAATAGATGCTCAATAACAAAATCAATAGGAATAAAAGTAAAAATAAATAATACTAATAGCAGGCAAGATGGCCAAGCTGTAGTCCCCTCGTCACTTACTGTATCTCGGTTCCCGTGTAAGCTATAGGGACGTAAAGTACACCAAAATGTTCGTCTCGATCTGGCGAGGCTTTTGGTATACTTTACGCCTATGTAGCGCACCGGGATACCGAGATACACGAGCCTGAACTGGGCACGGAAAACGCTACGCTGCGCTCCAGTGCACGCTCAACTGTCCACGGATGATGTGACTTGGTTTTTCCCAACGGAAATTTCCCGATTTGTCCAAAAAAACGAGCTTTCTCTCAAAAAAATTCAAAAACAATAAAAATTTGATTTCCTGGAGAAATTGCACAAATGTGTATCGTAAATTAATTTTGACTTGTATGGGAAAAAACTAAAAAAAGCTTTGAAGTCGCAAAAAACTGTATTTTTAGAAAATGTTAAAATTTCGTTTAGGCGAATTGTCGGCGCGCCAAAAGACGTCGTCGCCCCCGAAGACGGCCATCGTCATCCCCTCCACCATCTCGGCGCCGACGACTTCGAGCGGGTCAGAACTTCGGGCTTAAAAAGGGCTCAAAAAGGCTTACATTAATCAGAAAAACCGGTATTTTGATCGCCACCAATTCAACCGCTAATTTAGGGCCCAGTCGCCGATGCAGTCGTTGCAGCAGCCGGCGATGCAGTACGTCTTCGACCAGCCCCAGCCACTCGCCCCGCCGCCCACCCCCAAGAAGTAGATGAACATCCCCCCACCCCTCTCGCCACCCGCAGCAGCGCCCCGACCACCAACGCACGAAACTTGATGGTGCTTGATGGCGCTGCCCGATCAGCTGAACACGTCTCCCTAGAGCAGCCCCAACTCCCACAGTTTCGTGTTCCTTATGTATTCCGCTTCTCTGTATAAATATTTTTGGGCGGCTGTTGCGAGAAGAATGTGATCCTACTATATATAAAAAAATAGTGTCTGTGTGTGTGTGTGTGTGTGTATATTTGCATGCACTTCCGTTTGGATGTTCCGCACCTACAGCCTCGGGGAAGGGTTTTTTGGATAGGGAAGAAACGACAATAGGTTTAGAATGGTCCGGAATCGACTGCACACACATAAAAATTTTGAAAAATTGTGGTTTTCGCTATTAAAAATAGGTTTTTGTAAAACCCTGTTTGTTAGGGGAAATTAGCATGCGCCGGAAGTAGGAAGAGCCTATATAAAGGGACAGAGGAGCGGTTTTTCAAATTTTTTTTATTTTTGCTAGAATTCAGGGAGAAACATGCAAATTAAGGACTTTCACAGGTCCTGGACGGGGCCAGGGTTGAAAAGCCGCGAAGCGGTTTTTCAACCCTGGTTTTATATAAAACTTCATTACCAAGTGCTTTTAATGGCATATTTTTCGCAAAAGGCAAAATAAAGACATTTTCGGTGGTTTTCTACTGGGTGTGCCGAAAAAAGCTACCCCCCTCCAGCGGCCCGGAGAAAGCTTGGAACGGCATGGTTTTGCACGATTCGAAAGCCCTGGAAATAGCGAGAAATTTACACTTACACTTACACACTATTACACACCTAATGACGTATCAAACGTACCTCACAAATCGTGCCCTTTTATAGGATTTCTTCGACGCCATTCGATACAGCGTCAAAAAAATATACCAACAGTTTTAATTTCAGCCCGAAATAGGATAAAATAAAATAGTTATGGCAAAAATGTTCTAAGTTTTCTAAATTTGCTGTTGCCTTCTGAATTCGCTTTCTAGGTCCGGTTCCCCGGTTTTTATTCCCCCGGCCAAACAGAACAGTATCAATAAGTGTAAACTGTTAGTAAGATAAATTCATGCTTTTCAGCCATTCGAACGCCATCGAGATCGTCCTTGTTCTTTGCTAGTTTCTCTTTTTTTTGTACGATCGCAAGGTTCAGACACGAGATGGGAAAGGGGGCAGAGTGCAGAGCGGAGAGAGAACCACGGGATAGCCAGAGAGCAGAGAGAAACGAGAGAGCACAGAGTAGCTCCCGTCTCGTCTGCCTCGACTCACACGACCTCCTCTCTCAATCATGTGACCCGATGGCATCCCTTTCTACATCCGCTTTCTCCTCTGCTTTCACTCATTGAGTCTCACCCTCCCTTCCTTGTCCCTTTAGCCCCTCAGCTGATCGCCGTCCTCCGGCCGTGCCGCTAGTTTTTCGCCGTTTTCTCGTAATTATCGATTTTCCCTCCATTGTCATGACTGTGGCGATGAACTTTTGGGCGTTGCACAAAACATTGGGCCATCTGCCGTTTTCCTGGGACGTGAAAATGCGGTTTCAATGGTGCTTTTGCTAAAGAGTGACCTAAATACCGTCTTAACTACATTAATGATACCTTTTTGATGATAAACAGCTGTTACTACTTTATAACTTTTGTCCGTTGACGTTCATTATTCTGAAACCACCGACTATCTGCTTAATTTAGTTTTTTACTTCCTTGCCTTTTTTATAGCTATCCAGGTTTTGTTAAAAGTAATAAAAGCCAAGCTAAATAGACAACAAAGTATACTTGAACTTTTTCTTATGCCTTTTTATCTAGTGCCCTATTCAAACACTATTTTAGTCGTCTTTGATAGCTTCTTGTTTTTGTTATGATCAATTTTTCATTTTTTTAAAATCTATATTCCACTTTTCCTTTCAATTACGACACAAAACTGTTGACACCCCAAACGGAAAGCCGCCCTCTATTTCATCAAATGTTTGTCGCCTCCTCCCAAAACCCCCCGCACCTTTCCCCGTACAAATAACGCATTGTCATCTTCAGAATAACACCCCCGAAATGTCGTCTGGACCCCGGAAGAAGGCCCTCCTGAAAGTGATCATCCTCGGCGACTCGGGCGTCGGCAAGACGTCGCTGATGAATCAATACGTAAACAAGCGCTTCTCTAATCAATACAAGGCGACTATCGGTGAGTTTTCGGCGTTAAAGAAGAGTTGTTTGTTATTTTAGGCGCCGATTTTCTAACAAAGGACGTGATGATTGATGATCGTTTAGTGACAATGCAGGTACGATTGAAATCTAAAAAAAACGTATTGTTACCCGCTTTACAGCGATAGAAGTGAGTTTTTTCACTTCTAAAAGGAGTAGCAAACTGAATTTTTACACTGGATTTTTCTATATAGAGGAAATAGCAATATCTGAAGTTTTTCTAAAAAAAAACAAGAAACCACGCGATCCAATTACAGATCTGGGACACGGCCGGCCAAGAACGCTTCCAGTCGCTTGGCGTAGCATTTTATCGAGGTGCCGATTGCTGTGTATTGGCGTATGATGTCACGAATTCGACGTCTTTCAAGAATCTCGACTCGTGGAGGGATGAATTCTTGATTCAGGCTTCCCCCCGGGACCCTGAACATTTTCCCTTTGTTTTGTTGGGGAATAAGGTGGGTTCAAAAGATCGCTATGCCTAGGAATGCAATTAAAAACTGCTAAACGGGCATTTTATACTTATTAACGGTATACGCCCTTTAATGGAGTATCTGTTTCAGGTAGACCTTGAGCAAAATCGTGCCATCTCGACAAAACGGGCGCAAACCTGGTGCCAGAGTAAGAACAACATTCCCTATTTTGAGGTGAGGATTAGATTCACTCTTTTTTAATTTATGAAGTATTAAACCCTATATTTATTACAGGTTTCCGCAAAAGAGGCCGTCAACGTCGAGTCGGCGTTCCAGACGATCGCGCGCGACGCGTTGGCGCGAGAATCGCAAGACACACAGGATTTCCCGGATTTCCCAGATCAGGTGGGTGCAAAGAAAAGTTTTCCGGGCTCAGAATTGTTTGGCTTTCGATCCAATTTATAGAGTTCGAACAGATATAAAAACTGTTGTAATAGAATTTATAGCGTGTTTAATAGTCATTTCTAAGACTTCTAGAGCTTTAGAAAAGAAAAGAATTGATCAAAAGCGCGAATTTTCAATTTTGCTCAGTGTTTCGACGGTCCAATGCGAAAAAGGCCAAGTTGTCAGCAAAAAGAATAGAACGTTCAGTTTAGCTAATTCAGCTAATTTAAAATAGGATCCAGAGCTGCGGAAAAAAAGAGTACAACGTAAACATAAAAAACGTTTCAGATTCGCCTCGACGGCGGCAACAGCGCGCGCAACCAATCGGGCGGCTGCAATTGCTAAAAAAACGGGCCCCTAGAAAAAACAAAAAAGTCCATTAAATTCAAGAATTACTTCCAAAAAGCAGTCCGTCAACGGTAGCGTGTCGGTGCTCGAAAAACTCCTGGAAAAAGCTTTGTTGCCCCCGGAAAAAGTTGTCCCCATCACCTCCACTTGTGATATAAAACGATGTTTACCCTTTCAATATAGCCATCATCCCCGTTTTTGATGCCTTTTTGTATTGACACCTTTTTCAATGTAATTTGTATGTATGCCCGACGTTAGCTTCACAGTTTGTGTGCGTTTTTTCGTGGAAACTTCTGCCAATTTGTCGCCAATAAATCATGCCGGTTCCCAAGAACTTGTAGAAGTTGTCGAGCTTTTTTTGTTTTGCACTTGAATTGAAGGCGCAGGGTGATTCAGAGAGTGACGCGCAGGTTTGCGAGTCAAAATAATACAGCGCTTTGGAGTGTACATAGTAAACCTTTGTAGGAATCGATGAAACTGGAAAAATTATAACGTTTAGGGAAGAAAACCCTGTTTTCCTAGCTAAAAGCTTATCAAAAATCGCATAAACACAGCAAAAAGTACAGATTTTAGCTTGTAAAAGCCTTTAACAAGGCTAAAAACGCTCTAATTATGTAGAAAAATACTTGCGCTTACTTTTATTACTTTTTAATCCAACTTTTAAATCATACAACGTGAATTTACGGACCATTTTTCGGACTCAAACCTGAACAGTTACAACTTTCCGCTTAAATAAAACGTTTGAAATGCGTAAAATGCGTAAAAAAGCTGTAAATAAATTACGCATAAAAAGTATAATGGTGTCCATTCTTCCGTGAAAAAGTAGGAGATATATGCCACAATCCAAGGCATCCACAATTTTTTCGTTGCCCCTCTTCGCGCTGAACGGGTCAATAGCTTGCAGGGGTCGGCCTCTCAACGAGGATAAATTGAGCAAGAAAATTACGCCAGCGATTTCTGCCTTCCTTAACTTGTATTTATACATACCATTTACGATATTTTATATCCATTTATTACTCTTTTTGAAACATATAACTTGCCCAGATGTTACCAGAAAACGACCTTTTCGAATTTCATCGATATGGGTATACATTAATGACCTATTGACCCTGTTTATTGGTCTTTCAAATGCCATATACGCATCGCTTACCTGCATTCTTAAACCATCTCTTTTTATACCTCAGTTGCAAAATATTTCATCGGTATTCCTTTCAGAAATCGGCTATATAATGTCTTCCGCACCCCACAAAAAGGCGCTCCTGAAAGTGATCATCCTCGGCGACTCGGGCGTCGGCAAGACGTCACTGATGAATCAATTTGTCGATCAGCGCTTTTCGAATCAGCATAAAGTGACGATCGGTAGTGTTATTCTCCTCGTTTTATCCCATTTTTTCAGGAGCCGATTTTATCATGAAAGACATGTTGGTTGATGGTCGCCTGGTGACAATGCAGGTAAGCGAAAAACTGGCTTACAAACCTTTAAAACGTATTAAAAATTGAAACTTTTCGTCGATAATTGGCCCTTTTTGTCGCAAAGAATATTTATGATTCTACGAACTAGGGCACCCTCTCATCTGGGACATTGCAGATCTGGGACACGGCCGGCCAAGAACGTTTCCAGTCGCTTGGCGTAGCATTTTATCGAGGTGCCGATTGCTGTGTATTGGCATATGATGTCACGAATTCGACGTCTTTCAAGAATCTCGACCCGTGGAGGGATGAATTCTTGATTCAGGCTTCCCCCCGGGACCCTGAACATTTTCCCTTTGTTTTGCTAGGAAATAAGGTGGGTTCAAAAGTGTATTACATCTTTTTAAACCACTAACGAATATTGGTGGCAAAACTAGGGCACTTTAACGTTATATCCAGGCTCTTAACTTTCAGGTGGATCTCGCGCAAGACCGTGCGGTCTCGAGGAAAAAAGCCGAAGCGTGGTGCCAGACAAAGACCAAAATGCCCTATTTTGAGGTACGTATCTACTACTCCTATTCTACCCTTTTAAGGTATCCGCGAAAGAAGCTGTCAACATCGATTTGGCTTTCCAGACGATTGCGCGGGCTGCCCTGGCACGGGAATCGCAGGATACACAGGATTTCCCAGACTTTCCGGCACAGGTAGGCTGCTTAAGCTTACGTGTGGCTTGGCTTCGCTAAGACATGGCTTAGGCTTAGCTTAGGTTGAGCTTAGGCTTAGCTTAGGCTAGGCTTTGGCTTGCGTAGGTTTGGTTTTTGCTAGACTTAGGCTAAGTTTTTGGGTTAGCTTAGGATAGCGTAGGCTAGACTTGGGCTTGGGTTAGACTTCGTTTAGGTTTCGCTTAATCTTGGTTTAGGCGTGGCTTAGGCTTCGCTTAGGCTTGGCTTAAGCTTAGCCTTCTCGTGGCTTGACTTATTCCTGGCTAAGGCTATGCCTAACTAAGTTTCACTGAAACTTTACGCTTTAGTTATTAATCATGTAAAAAAATATTGATGCTTGGTTTTTATGATCTTGTTTTCCAGGTACTACTCGACTGCGGGAATGCTAAGAGTTCCAGCTTCTGCAGCTGCCAATGAAAAACGGGTGTTCAAATCGATTCAATTTTTAAGTGTTTATTCTTTTTGCGATCAATAACATACTTTCAAAAACAATTCAAGGAAAATATTAAACATTAAATAGACTGCTACACACAAAAATATATTAATTTATTGCTTAGAACTGGATTGCCGAAGCGCTCCAAAAATCTGGAGGCCGCTTTCTACGTTTAGAATTTTGGTGTGTCGACGCACCTTTAAACGCACTTGGAACGGCGAAAATCGACCCCTTCTGTTGACAGAACAGACAGAAAGACTAGCTTTCTAGACAGAAACCTAGCGTAATACTTAACGTCTAGCTTTCAAGATGCTGTAAAAAATAGGTCGATTCTCGCACGCCCAAACCTTTCTATGCTCTGGTATCACACGCACACAACGATTCGCAAAACTTGCTGGCGAGGGCGCAGAACTGCTGCTCTCTCCAGTTGATGCACAGCTTTGAGCGCGCTTCGGGGCAATCAGGCACTAATGGCGCTCTCATCTCGGTGTTGGCAGTGAATGTTGCTTCCGTTGAGCTTTCGCGTTGTGGGGTCGGGGGTCGCGTGTAGATTTGGACGTCTTTTAGCGGTTTCTAGGGTTGAGTTCGTTGGAAATGGGGTTCTTTCGCATTATCGGGGGGAGTTTCTAGAAACCAATTTTTTAAATATAAAGAGCGGACGTGTTTTAAACTGTCATTGCCATTGTAAAAGGTAGAAAACTTTACAAAGGTTTTTAAAAAACTAAAACATTTCGACCAAAAGTAGCCATTTTTCCTAAAATATCGACTCTTTGAAAAATTTTCAATTTTGAGATAGTTTTTCTAGTTAAAATATAGTTTTATTTTACTAAAATGATTATGAAAATAGTTCCTATTAAGTTACTAGGCATTTCTAGATTAATACAAAAAATTGTAAAATATCCCTAATTGGCTTTGGTTTTCGCAGCAAACGCAACGAAAATTTTTAATGCCAAAAGTCAGTTTTTAAAACAAAAATGACATGATCCATTACGCAATGAAAAGGCAGTGTCACTGCCGCGTTGCGTATCACGTAACGCCGTTGCGTCGGTTGCGTCAGATTCCATAACCTAGCCTTTCCAGCCCCTTTAAACTCACCTTGATAGCCTGCAACGCCTCTTCCAAATCCTCATCAAGGCTTTTCGGTGGTGCCGGAAATCTGGGGCTCGGCTTCCGCTTCCCCGGCCCACCATCATCCGCGTAGTAGTCTTTTGACTGATCCTGGAAACCCCCAAAAAATTTGACGATCTATACTAGACTTACATCCAACAACTCCATAATCATCAGCTTGATCCGCTTCAGCAGCTCGGTGCTGATCCCCGTGAACTTGGCGCCACCTTCGTCAGGGTCGTCGACGGCGCTAAGATTTTTGCTTAGCATACGGGCGTACTTTGGTGACTTACGTATCCCGTTTTGGCAGCAGTCCATCGCGATACATTTTGAGGTATTCGGTGTAGGTGAGGGGAGGCGTGATTTCTAAAGTTTTTCCCAACTCATAAAATATGCAAATTGAGGTTTTCGGAGTTTAAAAATAATTTTGTTCAGTGATTTTTCGAGGTCACAACAACTTAAGTTGGTAAAAATGCTATCATAGACGCTTTTTCGCGAATAATTGGCGAAAATTAGCTTAAAAAATACTTTATAGGGCTCTATGATTTATGAGAATTTCCTTGCTAAATTTTCAATTTATCCGATTACGATAGCCAAACAACCTACCGGGCTCATAAAATTGCGGCGCAGGCGTGGCCTTGAGTGCGATGATGACGATAATTGTGAGTAGACAAATCGAATTTACAGCTTAATTTTAATTTTCTTAGGCACCGCTAGAGCTGACCTGTTAATATGAGGACGACCATCAGCCAGTTGCACATCGTGGGCTTTGGCGGGCCAAGGGTGACCACTTCTCGGCTCATTTCTGCGCGATAAATTTAATGAAATGTCATGATTGAAAAATTGACTAAAAAGAAGAATAACTAAAGATGGCAGTTTATAAAGGCACCAGGGTCGAAAGTTGGCGTTTGTTAGAGAAAGGTGTTTTTTATTGGGACACCCTGTAAAGACACTATTTTTTCCTAGATTTAGTAGGATACTTAACAAAAGAAAGCTTTATAAACCAACCCTTTAATCGATTCTAATTGTACCTGTTGAAACTTCGGAGATTCAAGCAAAAGGTTCTCTCACGGGCGCAGGAATTGTGGGCGCGGTGCCGTGGTGGGGTGGATGGCATACAGCCGGTCCGTTGTCGAACGGCTGCCCGGGTCTAATTGGACGGCTCTCAAGCCACGGTAGAGAGGGGGATCACATTCACACATGATCACGGCAACCCTCTCCATCATCAACATGCCATGATTCACAGTAAACTCTGCTGGCAGGGGGTGGGGTGGGAATTGGGACAAAGCGGCTTCTCCCTCTCCTCCCGTCGGCTTCTCGTCAGGCGATTCTAATGCGGACTATACAACGAATGGGAAGAAGGTACAAATTCTTCCTAAACAGCATCACTACCTAAATCACCCATTGACGCAGAGAGATGAAGGGTATGAGACAGACCCAGAGGCCCTTAAGCGGCATCGTTCAGTTGGGTTTTAAAGGGACGCGTAAGACTCAGAGCACTGTAGTCCCGCTTCACCGTCCCTTTAAAGGATGTGGCCACTCCCAGAGAATCGACTCCCTACCTCGCCTGGATCTAGACAACTTCGCCCTGCGACAAAAAGAAATCGCCTACCAGCTTATGTTCAACTTTGCTAGGTTTAGTTTAGCTTAGGACCAGACTTTGCTTATTAGGCTTAGGCCTAGGTTTGGCTTAGGTTGGGGCATAGGCATAGGCTTAGGCTTAGGTTTGGCTTAGAATTAGGAATGGGCTGAGAAGCAGGCTTATCTTCAGCTTAGGGGCTAAGGGTTAGGCTTAGCTTAGACTTAGGTTAGGCTTAGGATTAGCTTAATCCTAAGTTAGGTTGAATTCAGGCATAGGCTTATGCTTACCTTAGACATAGCTCAGGCCTCGACGGTAATTAGGTTAGGCTTAGGCTTCGGTTAGGATTAAGCTTAAGTTAGGCTTAGTTTTAGGCTTACGTTTAGGCTCAGGCTAAAGCTTAAGTTATGCGAAGTCAGACCTGGGCTAGGCATACTACTTACGTTTTTTTTCAGTTAGTTTAGACCTTGCCTAGCTATTGCTTCACTGGCTTGCCTAGCTTAACTTCGCCTTGGTGTAGATTAATCCTAATCTTGCACATTTCCATTCTCTGTCCATTTCAGTGTGCTTATCCCCAGCCATCTTTCATCATATATTTTATACTCTATCGCAAAGTGACAATGTAAAAAAGGGCTGAGTGGGGGGTGAACACGAATCTGTACGAGCAATGCGATGGGGGGAGCTGTGATCACATTTTGAACTGGGAATCTGAGGGGAGCTGGGATACAGAAAATAGGTAGGACTAGAAAGGCCTATGTACAATCACAATCACCGGACAAGGGGGAGGGTACGGTAGTTTTGGCACGAAATAGAATCGAAGGGTGCGACCAGACAGGAGGGTACCGGTATATGGTGAGGTTTAGGCTAGGGTTAGGCTTGCGCTTGGGCGTAGGGTTGGGTTAGGCTTGGGCCTGGGCTTGGCTTAGACTTGGCTTAGGCTGGGCTTAGGCTTGGGTTTGGAGTTTGGGTTTGGGCTTTTGGGCTTGGGCTTGGGCTCGGGCTTAGGATTTGACCAGGAAATAAGGCCACAAAATGAACATAAATTGGGCATGCGTTAGGTTGTGGCCTAACGGAATTCGCTTGAAAAGCTTAAGCTTAGGTTTAAGATTAGGATTAGGCTTAGGCTTAGCCTAGGCTTAGGAAAAATATAAGGCTTTCAGCGACCCAGCTCATGGACGACGTGCAACACTTCAGAAAGGTCCAGGTTGTCGGAGGAGATATATGAAAGGTTCTGGAAAAATAATCGATTACGGTGGATGTCTAATTACCGTAATACTAGATAGCAACGCGGTGATGTTGGCCATCCGATTGGCGGCGGCCAGCTCGCCCCGACCCCGGGCCGTCACCGTCTGCAGCAGCTCCTGGTAGTAGCCCCGACCTGCTTCGAGTCGTTGCACACCCGTTGGCGAAAGATTCGGCAGATCTGAAGGAGTTGGATTACATTTCGAAAATCTGATTTTCCACGGTATTTAGTGTGAGAGAGCGAGAGAGAGAGAGAGAGAGAGAGAGAGCGAGATAGTGAGTGAGTACTTACCGTCGGCAAAGATGAAGAACAACCCGGCAATCGTCGCCTCATCCTCATCAAGTTGCAGCTCCTCTAACGGCTCTCGCAGCAACACCATCGACTTCTCCGATAGCGAATGAAGGTCGTGAAGTGGATGTGGGGCGGGTAGGGATGGGGAGAGGAATGTCCCGTTGCCGTAGCACACTCCGCGACAACCCGCACGAACCGCCCAATTCGAGGTGAGCCACCAGTAGTACGGAGCGAAGCGGCATTTTGCGAGGGACATCTGGCAATAAAATATGGTGTGGAAAGGGAAAACTATGCCTAAACCCAAGCCTAAGCCTATGCCTTAGCCTCATCCTAGACCGAAGCCCGAGCCTAAACCTAAGCCAATCCAAAGCCAAGCTTAAGCCTAAGCCTAAGCCTAAGCCTAAGCCTAAGCCTAAGCCTAAGCCCTAAGCCTAAGCCTAAGCCTAAGCCTAAGCCTAAGCCTAAGCCTAAGCCTAAGCCTAAGCCTAAGCCTAAGCCTAAGCCTAACCTAAGCCTAAGCCTAAGCCTAAGCCTAAGCCTAAGCCTAAGCCTAAGCCTAAGCCTAAGCCTAAGCCTAAGCCTAAGCCTAAGCCTAAGCCTAAGCCTAAGCCTCAGCCTAAGCCTAAGCCTAAGCCTAACCTAAGCCTAAGCCTAAGCCTAAGCCTAACCTTAAGCCTAACCCAATACTCGGCCAAGCCCAAGCCAGACTTAAAGGGATGGGGCGGCATAAGGCAATCGATTACGCGCGGGAAAGAAAATGTCTCTGCGCCTCTCCCCTCGGCGCCCTCTCTCGCCGCGGGACCTGTTGAACCCCCTCCCCAAGGGGGGTTCAACCGATGCCGTCCTCATCTCTTTAAGCGAATCCGAAGCCAAGTCTATGAAACCTAAGCCAAACCAAAGCCAAACCTAAGGCAAGCCTAAGCCAATCATAAGCCAAGACTAAGCCAAGCCTAAACCTAAACCTAAGCCTAAGCCCAAAAGTCTTGACCACTCACCCGATCTCCTTCCTCCATACTCCGGAAATGTGGCAACGCAACGAGTACATCCGCATATAACACAAACGCTCGCCGGAAATCGAGCAAAATATCCTGAAGTGAGGCGGGCCGAGAGCCGGACGGTTCGAGCCGGGTCCTCCTGGCGATGAGGTGCGGGTTGTAGAAGGCGGTGGGAAAGGGGAGAAGCCGCTCTTCCGGCCCTGGACCCCACCCGTCCGCGTCCGTACGGCTGAAGATGTCCCGCATCAGGGAGAGGGTTTCGTGGATTTCCTAAAAGACGCGTTAAAATTACTTATATACGAGTTGTATTTTTACTAAATTATTGTTAGAGTAGATTATTTTTATATATTTAATATTTCATAATCCTTTATTTATCGATTCACAGAAAATGAAATAGATATTTATCCTTATGAACCAATTTTTGTCCATATAAAAATGGCGGAGGTGTTTCTTCTAAACTATTTATTTACTTATCCATAACTTAAAACTTTACAAATTTTAATTGAAAAATCCAAAACTATCTTTCGACCTAAAAAATGGCCGTATTTCTGACCAAAATATCGTTGTTTTTTTTGAAGACTTTTCAAAGCTGGATATAAAAAAGTTGTATTTTTAATTTAGATAGTTTTTCTAGTTAAAACATAGTTTTATTCTACGAAAAAACATTAGGAAAACTTACTATGCTTTTACCAGGAATTTCTTGATTACAACAAAAAAATTTAGTCCCCCCGATAATGCGAAGTACCAGAATTTTGAAGTTTATTAAACCGCGTTTTTAAAGTAGTTTTAGCGCCAAAATCATACCCGCTCCCTGTCGTGCGGCTTGACATCAACACTTGGCAGTTGGTGCTGATAAATGGCCGTCTGCCCATATCCATCCCCTTCAAACGATCCCGAAAAGCCGTGATGAGATGCTTGACGATGGAATGTAGATGCTGATGAGGGTGTTGTTGTACTTGTTGAGATTGTTGGGTCTGTCTGCGCCTCAGCCTCGGCCATTTCTGGTGGAGGTGAGGGTGAGTCGCGCATCCTGTCACGTTCCTCGTCCGCCTCCAGCTGAAATCATCCGGTGGGGGCTGCCAGGGCGGGATGCGTATTCGGGAACGGCAGCACCAGCGGGGGACGTCTAAATCTAAGCCGCTGGCCTGCTACACTACGCCCCGATACTAACAACGGAATGTGGAAGGACGGAGCTATACTAAGGGTGGCATGCGTGTGAGTGAGCGTGTGGAAAGAGTGAAAGGAGTGCAGGGTTACGGAGAAGCTTTGAGAGATTTTTTGGGGCCGTAATACCGACAGACTAGACCCGGGCAGCGCAAAAACCAACAAACAAAAATTCGTAGTACAAAAATTTTGACAGCCAAAATCGCAGATCGAAAAATGCCGACAGCCAGAACGCTGACACTAAAAATCTCCACGCCTAAAATCCCGACAGCCTAAACTCCGACAGCTAGAATCGTGTCGCTTCAAAATGCCGACAGACAGAAATGTCGACAGCCAAAATGTCGAAAGCCAGAATGCCGGCATTAAAATGCCGACAGCCGAAATGGCGACCACCGAAATCCCACCCTCGAAAAGCCCGACAGCTAGAATCGCGGCGCGCCAAAATACCGACAGCGAAAATTCGAACCCCGAAATAATCGAAAAATCAATAAAAAATAATCCCGGCTTTACAGACTCGGACTGACAAAAATGCGAACAACAAAAGCCCTAACTGCTAGAATGCCGAAAGGCAAAATCGCTAGAAACCGACAATCCCGACAAAGGGGAAATGGCGACAGCCCGAGTTGGCAACGGCTTAGCGCTAAGAATGGGTACACCAAACTCTTTCTTTAGCTAATAAACGAAAAAAAGCTGAAGAGACAGAAAGGAGAGACACATAAGAAGCAGCCGACGATACCTTTAGTTGGGCGGCCATCTGTTGTTCTTGCTGGGATTGGGCCAAGTCGGCTTCGCTTTGCACGGCCCGCGGGTTCATCCCGACACGCAGGCACGTTTCTAGCCGGCAAGCTCGGCAGGTATTTCGGTGTTCTAACAAGATAATTTTAAAGGGGCTAAAAAGTTGACCAGGTGAAGAGAGAGAGCGAGAGAGCGAGAGAGAGAGCGAGAGAGAGAGAGCAACACCTAAAACCCACCTTTGGAAACCGGGCAATTTCCGCCAAATCGGCAGACATACGTCCTATTTTTCCATATACTCCGCCGGAAAAATCCCTTACAACCGTTGCACGCATTTACACCGTAGTGCCGACCCAGGGCCTGGAATTGAGCAACAGGTTATCGAGTACGAGACTGAACTACTTACACTGTCTCCACACACTGCGCAGTACAACCGTTGCTTCGTCTTTGATTGGGAATTTGGGGTCTGAAAAAAGAGATTTTTGTGCCGGTATACGCTCATTATCTCGCTCTCGCTCTCTCTCGCTCTCTCTCGCTTTCTCTCGCTCTCTGTCTCTTTCCTTCCGTTCTCTCCCTCTTCTCTCTCTGCTCTCTCCTCCGATTTCTCTAGCTCTCTCTCTCTGTCTCTCTCTTTCTCTCTATCTCTCTCTACCTCTCTCTAGCTCTCTCTCACCCGCCATTACTAATTATTACAATGCAAAAATTAATCCGGTTGAACCAGCCCCGGATTACGGTAGCAAAAAAACAGCGTTGAGCAACTCGAATAATCAGACGCGTGACTCAGAGCGTCGGCGGCCGCGAAAAATTAATGAGTTTCCGTGTTTTGTGGTGTCTAGGTGACTGCCCTTTCCCTCAAACTCTCCAAAACTTACCATAGAAGCCGGTGGCTGGGTGGGTAAATGTAGACCGGGCGTGCCGGGGCTGTGTAACGAGGCGTGTGGCGGACCGGGAAGTCGCGGAACGAACGGGGGAAGGGCGGTAGAGGGGCCAGCCTGGAATTCATGGGTTTTAAAGGGATTCGTAAGGCACAAAGAGGAATTTTTGGCGTTTTTGAGGTGTAAAAAGTAGGAAAACGCCGGTATTACCTGAGGCCAATGCACAATCCCGCCTTGACCCATCGATGAGAGCGGAGAATGTTGATGATGCCCGATTCCCCCTAGTGAAGTCCCTAAAAAAGCACCCTTCAAAAACTAATAGTCCGCTAATTTTGATAAGGAAAAGCGCGGCAGAGATTCCGCAACGATACGCACCGGCGCTGTGAACAACGTCAGCAGTATCGTCGCGCAATTCGCGTACTATTAGAAGCCTAGCAAACTACAAACTATAGCTAACCTATCGACGGATAATTCGAACCCATTGGGGTGGGAGGGGTGATGGGATGGGGATGATGGGTGAGGGTAGAGGTTGAAGGGGATATGGTGGGCGGTGGTAGATGACCAGCTGGGAGACCGGACGTCCCGGGTTGCACACCGTCCGACATCTGTAATTATTGCAGTTCGTTGGACTTTTTCTAGCTGGCTAAGCCAAGTCACCAGGAAGGGGTTAGGCTTACAAGGAGAGATTTTCGAGTCTCGTCGGGACTTCGCGACGGGACCAAGCCTATATTGTGAAGAATTTTGCCCTGATTTCGAATATGGTTACCATATTTGCGGAATACCATTCTACAAAAACCATAAACTATTTAAACCAAAAAAACCACAATTTAGCAAATTTTGACTTGATTTAATAATTTAAAAGTTTAAAGGTCATGCAGAATTAAAAATTATCTATGAACTGTACCATTCTAACCAAAAATTTTTATGCCCTTAATTGTTATCTAAACTTCCAAGGCCAAAGCATTTTTAATGACGTAACTTATTCGATAGAGATTTTTTTCTGAACAAACGGCAATTTTTTTCCTTTATAACGTATGCCGAAGCCCTTTTCGTCCTTAGAAATCAGATGATTTGTCGCGTTTTTTTTTTTTTGAATCGATCATATCGTCCAAGAAATGGCTATTCCGCAAAAAACGGCAACCATCTTCGGAATCAGCGTAAAATTTTGCAGAAGATGGGCTTGGTCTCACCCCAAAGTCCGGATAACACTCAACAACGTCTCCTCGTTAGCTCGCCTGGTGCGCTTGCGCGCGTTGCGTGTCGCTGCTATCCATTCCTCTCAGTTTCCCTCAAAGTAACTTACATGAAGCGTGGGCGCAATGTGGCTGAGCGGTATCTCATGCTTTGGGTACGAAAATTTCAGCTCGCCAAAGGTGAGGGCACGATCGCGGAACGCCACCTAAAATAACATAAATATTAAAGGAAGAATAAACATAAAAAGATCGCTAAAGAGAGCCAAAGTTGACCTCGAAGTCCATCTCTTCTTCCGGCTGTGGTGGTGGCCGAGCCCTTCTGGCGTCCCGCGTCGGATCCGTTTTGGCGAACTGTAGGGGGGCCGTCGTGAAGAAATGAGCGGGCGCTGGAAAATTGAACGGTTATAGCGGTTAGGATTAAAGTCTGGACGGACATAGAAAAGTATAAAACCCCCCCCCCCCCCCCCCCCCCCCACAAAAAGAAGAAAGCAAAACCCCCCCCCCCCCCCCCCCCCCCAAATTGGTTTTTGTAAAAGTCCGCGGGGGCGAAGAAACCCCCCCCCCCCCCCGGGGCCCCCCCCCCACCAAGGGTTGGTTAGCCCCGGATTGCATAGAAAGTATTAAATGCAGGTGACAGATCTTTTCTTTTTTTTTGAAAAAGCTCGTTTAAAAAGATCTTTTCAGTTACTGCGAAGTTCAGCCAAACTTAAGCTAAGCTTCATGTTAAAATCGGCCTTAATTCTAAGTTGTTTGGAGGTATCTAAAGTTAAGTATCTAAGCGTAAGTCTAAGACGAAGTTAAGCTAACATCCAGGAAAATCTTAAGCCAAAGCCAAACCAAGCCAGCGTAAGCCAAAGCTAAGGCTAAGCCAACCTCAACCACGGCCGCCTCAACTTAAGCAAAGCTAAGCCTGTATCTACGCTGTTTCTAAGTTAAGCTTATTCTCAAAAGCAAAGCTAATCCTGATCCTAAATACATACCTAAGCCATAAAGCAAAGCCAGGCCTAAGCTAATCCCAAGCCAAAAAAACTGCTTCAAAAGGCCGAAAATTTGACGGTTGGACTGATTAATAACCCAACTTGGCTTGTACTTATCCCCTTTAACAAGTTCCAGCTCCCAATTATCCAATTTCCGGAGCGAGGGTGGTAGGGGGGAGGGGGTGTTGTGACGGAGTGTGTGTTTGTATCCCCACGGAAAATCCGGGGATTTGATGGGGGCAGAAATACACAGCGGCGGTAATGTTCCGGGCGGAAATGACCCGATCCGGCTGGTCGTTTCCGGACGGGTGGAGGGGGCCCCTTTAATTAGTCGCTTATTCAGATCAGGGGGGTGGTTTAGGGAGCTTGAAAAGACGAGATTTGGGGGGTGTTTAAAGGGCTCGGGAAGGTCTGGTTATGAATTTAGGCGGTCATGGCTGAGAGCTGGATTTTGGTGAGCAAGACAGCGCCAAAGCCTAAGCCAAACCTAACCCTAGACCTAAGCCTATGCCAAAAATTCAGCCTCAGCATGATCCTAAGCCTAAGCCTAAGCCTAAGCCTACGTCGAAGCCTGAGCCTAAGACTAACCTAAGCCTAGCCTAAGCCTAGCCTAAGCCTAAGCCGATGCCGAAGCCTACGCCTAAGCTTCAGTCTAAGCCTAACTAATATCCTTATACGTGAGACATATCCCTTCTTTTAAATTATATATTTTTTAAATAATTGTAAATATTTCATTAACAAACACGTAAAAAGATATTTTTAAGATTCGACTCTGAGTAATTCAAAATGAAAGCTAGATTGAACGAAATAACGGCAAAAAGGCTTCCCGCAGAACCTTGGCCTCATTTTGGGGTACTAAATCTGCGTCCCCCTATTGCCGATGCCTATTCCTGATGTTAGTTCCCGGAAAATGACCGCTCATTTACGCATTTATAAGCTCGCCTAGCAGACCCCTAAATGGCAGACAAATTGGGGGGCCCCCACAGGTATGGACGTACGTTTTCCGTGGGTTGGAAGGGGGAGCGACGCGGAATCGGGCTGCTGGCCTTTTCCAGTTTTGATTATGGTGTCTATGTGCGTAGAATGGACTGTCTGGTCATTCTTTATTTCTCGTGCGCTTTTTCCTATCTTTATTACGCTCTTTCTATCTCTCTCGCTTTCCCTCTCTCTCTCCCTCTCGGGTATGTGAGAGTCTTGGTGCCAATTAGAAAGTTGTGCCCCTTGGGGGGAACCCCCTGGTTGGGGAAACCCAGTTTTCCCAGGGTGTACAGAGGCGTAAAGTGTACACATAACCTAGGCGTCATTTTAAAAACTAATTTTCCAGTTTTAGAAAATAATTAAAAACTATTAAAAAAGGGCCTGACTAACTGAATTGATTGCTGATGTTTTTGAAGCCTTTCACGGCGCCAAAGCGGGTCGCGCTATGCATTTCCCTACATCGGCAAAATTATTAGGACCTCCGGGGTAAATAGAATCCACAGCGCTGGCTTGTGCGTCCCCTTAAAAACAAAAACATGCCCAAAAACGTCACCAAAGTTCCTTATTACGGTCTTCGCGGATTTTCGGGACTCAGTCAGTCAGCTAATCCCCCAAATCCCCGTCCTCGCAATCGCTTATTAGGGCGGAAAAGCGGATGAGAAAACGTTTATATTAAGAGCACATCATAATCTGTGAAGGGAGAGAGCGAGAGAGTGAGAGAGCGAGATAGATAGTGAGAGAGAGAGAAACCGAAAGGGATAAGACTCCGGATTAACTCCCCCAGACAATTGTTAACTGGGCAATATTGAAGTAGGGGGAAGATTAAGGCCGTCAAGGCATAAAAATTATCGAAAAATAGCTTAAATTACGATGTTTAATCAAATCATAAAATCTAAATTATAGCTAAATTCGATTTAATCCACAAGATCGAGCTATTTTCAAGCTTGCAGGAGTGGAAATCAACGCAAGTGGTCCGCAGGATATTAGGACAACATATAAATGCATTGATCGATCACTACATATGTAATGACTAAGAAGAAGACAGATCATGCTCAAAAAAATCTCTATGGTAGTGCACGAAAATGCTTTTGCCATAGGAATCGGGTGATAAGGGCAAAAATTAACGGAAAATTAACTTTTAGACATCAAAAATTTATAAGGAAAGCCTGGTTTTTGTGTTTTCTTAGATTTTTGCACGCAAATTTGACCGGAAAGTGAGCGCGAAGTTCCTTGAGCGCCACCTGGAAGAATGAGTTCCCCCAATCCGGGAGGGCCAGCATTTTTTGAGGAGAACCGGATTAGCCGCGCAGGGTTTTCCACATTATAACCCAAGCCGAATAGAATCCGGATTATCACCCCCCGGAAATCGATGGCAACCATAATTTGCGAAAAATTCTGAAGGTACGGTAAGTCTTCCAGAAAATAGGACTCCAGAAAGAATTCAATTCCGTTGATCCACAAATCGTAGTGCGTTTTTCGGGAGGTAAAATGAGGCCAGCTGCACTGAATAGAAGGGCCAAGGAGAGGAGGGCCAATCGGTTCTCAGAAATTGAATAGGCAGACAGATAGAAGGACAGACGGACAGACAAAATCCATATACTGTGTGAGTCAGTGGCGGGAGGATGAAAAAAGACAAAACTACCCGGAAAATGCCCATACGCCGGTCGTTGAGTCCTTGAAGTCCTATTGGATTTTAGGAAAATGGTCGCGACGAACGGCGAAAAATGCACTAATAGTTCGGGTGATGTCTTAAAGGGATTGAGAAGTGTCGTTTTTTACAAAACGGAGCTTTTAGAACAGTTGTAAATGGGAAAAGAAAAAAATGGAGGAATGCGAGAGAAAGGCAAAAAAGAGAGAGAGAGAGAGAGTGGGAGCGAAAGCAAGAGAGAATGAGAGTTAGAGAGGGAGCGAGTGAGAGTGAGAGGTAGATAGAGAGAGGGCGAGCGAATGAGGGTGGGAGAGAGCGAGAAAGAGAGAGAGCGAGAGAGATAGAGAGAGAGAGAGAGAGAGAGAGAGGGAAGTGAGAGCGACAGAGAGCAAGAGAGATAACCAGAGCTAGAGAGAGCGAGAGAGTGAGATAGATAGAGACAGCGACGGACGTAAATGCAAAGTGATAGATAGAGATAGGGAGAACACTATTTAATTTAATTTAGACAGCATTTTTTTAGAACTATAGATAAAAAACGCAAAAAAGTGACACAGAAGCAAAAATCGCCCATAAAGCCCAAAGAAAGGGCTAAAAAATTAGGAAAGTCATTGCCGAAAACACCCCAAAGCCCAAATTCTGCATTCACAGAACCGGAAAAAGACAGTTAAAAAGCCTGACCAATTAGGTATCGTAGTACAAAAATAAATATCTGGCTAAATAACACACCCTAAAATGCTAAAATATCCAAGTTTTTTTAGTGCGGGTGACTGGGCAGCGTGACCGGCGACCCCCCGATCAGCTGACCGGTATCTCGCGTGGGGCAGGAAGAGAGAGAGAGAGATTTTTGAAAGTTGTTTCAATCGATATTTACTGGGTGTTGAGGGTGGTGTGTGTCTGCCTGTGTGTCTGTCTATCTATCTCTGTATGTGGCGAGAGTGGTTGTTTACCACTTTGCCCTTTCTATTCCGCTCGCTTCAAAATACACGACGGGGGGAGAGAAGGTGGAGGAGGAGTAAAGGCTGCATGGATCGAGGTTGACGACGAGAGAGAGCGGGAGAGACAGGGAGCGAGAGAGCGAGGCGAAAAAACGGAACGCCACCCCAATGCCCTCGACCCTCAACATCCGCTTCTACCTATTTACGTGTGGTTTTGGCTCTATCTTGAGTCCCCCAAAAATTTGGCGTCTAGCTTATTTTTAATGCATCTAAATTTACGCTAAATTGTTAAAATTAATGGATTTGACTTTATAAAAATCATTATCTTAATGAATAATGGGAAAGAAGATCGATTTTCTAGACTCTGATGCTGTATCTGTGCCTAATTACCATGTGCCATAGCTCATTCGATAGAGCTTAAAATTCAGCACTAATCTCAGCCTTCAAAAACTGCTGAACGACTACGGCATTCGTGTAAATTTGCCCTGATAGGGCCGATTTTACCCATTTTTGCTATCGCTTAGCAAAAAAATGTGTACTCGAATGCCGTGGTTCTTTAGAAATTTTTTTGAAAGCTGGCTTCCCTTCTATATTATTCAATTGAAAATAATATTTCCAGCACTTATGCATACAACAAAATAGAAAGATCAATTGTAATAGTAATCGTGGTAATCAATTTCCCCGCAAATGTGACAAAACTTGGCTGAAAATGCGCATCGAGCCTAGCCAAAAGTGATGGATAGGCGGGGAGAGGGGGAAGGAGATGGTAATTGGGAAGAAAGGGAATAGCAATTGTATACTTGACAGGATATCCCTATCCTGCCTCCGCCTCGCTTGTCTATCTGTTAAGAGCAAGGAAACGGACTCGAGACGGCCCGGGAAACTGGGTCGCAACTTTCGGGGATTCTATTTTTCGGGCGGGCGAATTGTTTATAATTTTTGGAGTTTTTCTGACTTTTTGGGGGCAAGATTTTAAGGAGGAGGAAAGAGAAAAGACGGACAGCTTCTTTATTTTGCTAGAAAAAAGCGAGAGAGAGAGACAGAGAGAGAGAGACCGAGAGAGAGACAGAGAGAGAGAGAGAGAGAGATAGAAGGAGAGAACGAAATAGAGCGAGAGCCGCAGATATAGCATTGGCCAAAACAAATATGTATTTAGTCCTCGATTTAAAAGAGCTGTACCCATCCCTTTAAAAATTAAAATAACTGAAAATCCTCGCGAACCGACGCGAAATTACGGGCGATACGCCCCGCCGTCGCCTGTCAGCTGGTTTTTTTCGGGTTTACGCCTCTCTCTCTCTTTCTCTCTCTCTCTCTCTCTCTCTCTCTCTCTATCGCTCTGTCTCTCGCTCTCTCACGCCCAGTCAAAGCGGCGAGAGTTTCAGGGTATGGAGGGGGATAACACTTTACGACGCGACACACCCGCTCTCGATCGGGCAGCCACACCGCGACTCACAACACAGAGCCCCCCGACTGAATTGGGGCCAATAAAAATCGGGCTGTCAAGAGGTGCAGCACGGAATTGGGGCAAAAGAGTGACAATCCACGGAAGACAACAAAAAAGCAGCAATCCAGATAGGCAGATATAGCTGGGCCGAAAAATGGCTGTCAACCCGATGGAAGAGTTAGAGTTAGGCTTAGGCATGGCTTAGGAATAGGCTTATGTTTAGGCTTAGCTTTTAAGTTGAAGCTTAGACCTGGCTAGACTTAGTTTAGACACATCTTTGTACCTTGGCTTAAAGTGAGGCTCAACTTAGGCTTAGCGTCGACTTATTTTAGGTTTAATTAGCTTAGCCTTTGGCTTACTATTTGCTTCGGTTTAGCTTGGGCTTCGCTTCTCAGACTTAGCTGAAGCCTGGCTTCAAGCCCATCTTAAGGTGGGCTCAAGGCTAGTTGCAGCTTACCGTAGGCCTTATAAGCTTAGGCTTAGGCTTAGGCGTAGCTTATTCTTAGCTCAGGCTTAGCTTCAGTACAGCTTCGCTTGAGAAACCCCTTTAAAGCTGGAAAATAGCCCAGAACGAGAAACGAGCTGAACGAGATGGGCGAGGTCGGGCGTCGACTCAGGCAAACATGCCGGTTGTGAAAACCGTTTTGCCGCGGCACAACCGTTTTTTGGGGGGCGCAAAAATGAATATGCCGAGCCGGGGCATGTGCCAAAGCCCCCCCCGCGAACAATAAGCGGCTACGCGCCACACACCTGTGTCAACGCCCGGGCCCAAAAATGGGGGTCGGTTTGTATTCACGATCAGTAGAAATTGAAAGGTTGGGGGGAGCGGGGGTTGGATCTGGGCTTTAAAGAAGCGGGCAACGTTTAAAAATGGCTATGGGCTCTCTACGGGTCGGGATACACAACGCGTACGCAATGCCGTAAAAGAAGGTCCTCGAAAAAATCTAAAAAATTCCATGAAAAAGACAAAAATTGAATACCTCGCAGGCCTGGTAAGCAGGCCCGTAGGAGGGGGGCAGGGGCCCTGGGCCCCGCCCCGAAATCGGTCGAGGTCCGAAAAATTCATAAGGGGGGACCCTTATGATTTTTAGTTACAAAAATTTTTCTGCCTGCGGCGCTGTTTATTACTGTTTTTCAAACAGTTTTTACTTATATCAAGCCTATTGTTTCAAAAATTTTTGCCTGCGGCGCTGGTTTTTCATTAGTGAATCAATTGATCATAAAAATTTTCGCCTGCGGCGCGTTTTCTGCGTGTTTTCACACCAATTTGAGTGTGGCAAACGCTTTTTTGCTATTTTTTTGCCTGCGGCGCTGTGTTAGCCGCGATTTTGGGGTGTTTGAAAAGTGACGACCGGGGGCGGGGGTCGCCAAATTTTTAGGCCCCCCGAAATTCGGCCTCCGCTACGGGCCTGCTGGTAAGCCTT